TGATTATTCAAATTATTTATTTCTCAGATAACAGGATCCATTGGTGTTAGTAAAAATAAAGAAACAAACTCATAGACTATTGTTAGTACGAAATTATAATTATAAATTACTTAGAAACTAAAATGTCATGTACTTACGAGGCATCTCGTGCGGAATCATTGTCCGTACGAGATGCCTCAGTACAGGCGCTCTGTGGTCGTTTGCAACAACTCTCAGAATGCTGTTGCCACTACCCCGGAGCCTACTAACCAAAGATGCCACCTTTCTCCGCAAGACCGCATTAAAGCAGCTTGTATGGGATAGAGCAAACATTGCAGAGGCACTGCAGTACCGGGGTAGTCTCAACATCATCCTGAATACGTTGTTGTATTGGAAGCGAAGGGAATTCAGCGACCTTTGCGAACAGCTAAACCACAAGCCGCCCGTGTACAGACCCTGACAATACGCTTTAAAAAGCGTAATTTTTACTTGGTCCGTACAGCGGGCAAACCTGCGGGCCAGCATATTCCCGCGGACCGCCAAAGCCCTGCGTTCCCTCTCGACGTCGTCATCATATTTAAGGTCGTCGGCAAGTATATGTCCAAGGTATTTAAAATGAGACACCTGTTTTACACTCATGCCATTTAGCGAAATAGCTGGAAAATCGTATTTAGGATTAGTCGTAGTTTCAAATTTAAAAAGAAATAAATTCTGGAACTGTTAATATAAATTTACCTTTACCCTGTTGGCATATGGGTGAAAATTCAATACCATCAATATCTATTATTGCAAGTTACGACGTTTTGATAATATACTGAAATTTCAATCAATGTGCTGCCATCTAGCGGTTCATTGCTGAACGACGACGAATTATTAATTTAGTTCTCCAAAAAAGAAGCGTATTGCAGAGGTTAATAAAATAAGTCTTTCGGATGATGGAAATACCACCACGGATAATATTTTTGGTGCGGCTCAAAAATGATAATTTTTGCACTCCATAACAGTACAATAAGGCATTTTTCTGCAATTTTAGAGAATTTGCGCGAAAGAATGACACAACCATACCATATAAAGCGAAAATGGCTGACTGAGCTCAAATAGGTCTTTCGAGACCTATAGTTGGCACGCGTACGACGCTAACTAACCACTTCTACTGTATTTATTGTTCTATGGAAGTGACATTAGTTAGATTTATATAAAAATGTGTGTTAGTGAAAAATATTTGCGTTTTAGTTGATAACCACGCAGAGAACGATCGGTCTTATTCCTACTATAACTAACCGCGCACGGTTCGCGTACGAGTGTGATGGTATTTATTTTGGCAGAAAGCTGAGAATAACCTAATTAGGGGGTTTTCACAGAACCAAAGTTTTTGGTCTTATACTGTGGGGAAATTCAGTAGTCGTAGAAAGTGCGTTTCAGAAGAAGTGTGTTCAGGCGATCTGCGGTGCGTGGTTCGACAACAGCTGTAAACTGTTATTCAAAAAACTAAACATGCACGTGGGCAGTAGAGCAAAAATTATTAATCGTGAATGTTATTTTTTATTTTATTTTATTTTTTTAATCATTAATTATGAATCTTTTGCTATGGCATCGAGGTTCATAAACCTCGTGTAATTTATGAGAAAAACTGTTTCAACATGTGTATAATTATTACCAAATATACAATTAATATATAATAATACAATACAAATAATATACAATTGCCAAATTAAATCAAATTGTTGCAAGGACATACTTTTAAATTACAATTGATAAAATGGCTTTTGACACATTGCTTCTGTAGTAATAAAGAATACTTGGAATTTCCAAACATAAATTTACTTTAATTTGCAGTGCAATTAACAGTAGAAACCGAACATGAAATTAGTATTTGCACATCTTATAGTTGTTGCCATGTTACATGTTAATCCCGTAGATTTTCAACATTTGTTTACAAAACTACGTAGTTTACATCTGCATAATTTAAAACTAGTGTGGTTTTTGTATGCATACATTCATTAACCGGGTCAGTTCATGGGCCATGATCTTTGATGAAGACAATAACTGTTTGTTCATTTTAAATTAAAATCAGACACACGCTTGATCTGATGGTAAATGACGATGTAACCGACGATGGTACGCGTTTATATGTAAAGGAGAGAATTCGAAACGAGTTTATGCGATAGAAAAGCAAGATAGAACAAGCAACCAGTGGCCGTAGCATGGCAGTATATCGCATGCAATGTGTAATAAACCTCCCCGTAACATATTTATTTCAGTTGATACAGCTATGTTGCCATTATTTTTTCTTCTTGCGAATACTGAATCGGTAAGATACCGTAATATAATAATAACGAACTATCGTTGTACGTTTTGAAGAACAAGGATAACGATATGAATTATATACCTATCTTTGTCGTTTATTTTACATTATATTAGTTATTATTTACGTATTTCTTAATTATAGAGTAATCGTAATTACTCTTGTATATACAAATGTTCTCATCTTTTTCAATTATTTTATATATATTAATTTGTGGGTTTGTATTATTTATTTTTATCTCGTTTGTCGCGTTCTATTTTTACGTTGATAAAATTACTGTGCAGAACTGTCAAAATGTTTTAAAATCAGCTGTGACCTTGCGGCCATGTTTGGCATTGCGATATTCTTTCGCAGCCATTGGTCGAGGCGCTTGCGATGCGATAACAATATGACGTCACGGTGCTCGCTATGTTAGTTATTGTGATAAAATTTTAAAATAGCGGTTTTATTACTCGAATTTGACAGCTAAATGTGGATATAATAGCTTTATCGCGGCGGCATGCTACGGGGGCTAATCTGGCATACTTACGTATCATCAAAAGACTCGTCCATATCGTCAGAACTGTAGATAAAATCATTTTCCAACTCGTCTGTATTAAAATCACCAGCCAAATACATATCGTCCTTCAAACTGACCTTCTCCAGCTTATCTATAACATTGTAAACTTCTCTGTCTTCAAAAGGTTTGAAGTTCTCGAACTGTTTCCTCTTGCTGGTTTTGATGTTTTTCAGGTCGTTGACATTTTTACCAATATTTTCGTTGTTGTTTTTAGCTATTTCTTCGTATTTTTTTTGCAAATGATTCTGGTTGTTCCAGCTAGTTTCAGGTACGTCGGCTTCCTGGTGCCACGCTGTGTTTGGTGTTAAATCTTTTGCTGGCGATATTTTCTTTTTTCTACGGTTTTTGCGGCCCGAGTTGCGGCGTTTCGGCTTCTTTTCTGCGTCGGCTTTTGATTCTGAAAAAAGAAAAAACATACAGGACTCTTTTTTTTTTCTTTTTTTTACGGGACAAACATACACGACTTCTGGCTGATTGCAGAAAATTTTCAAGTTTTTCAAAAATGGTGCTGGCAAGCAAAACCCATTTAAAACCAATACTAATCACATATGTAACACTTTAGGGCTCATGAGAACAAAACAATGTAGTAAGGTTCTTTTCATACTGTTGCTTTTACTAACAATTTTTATCAAACTTCAAAAAAGGAGGTTCTCATCGCAACGTTGTTAACGATACAGATTTCTCGCACGCATCGGTATCGCGTTTGAATCGCGTTTACGCGCGTCATCTGCGAACACATAATATACCCCGTGTGTGTAGACTCTAACTGCTATATTCGTATAGCGCGCTAAATGCAAATTATTATGAAAATTTTTTATAGCGAGCCAAATTTCTTCGTGGTTATTTTATTGCGTCTCACCTGAATCACGTTTCATTTCAATATAGATCTCAATGTAGCTGCCATCTTTTACTAACAGCTCCGTGCTCAGCTGCGGCTCGCACAAGAAGGAAGATTCCTCAGGAAGAGTCTCACTCTTGCCCTGAGATCTGCGACCTCTCCTACGTCCTGGAAGAATAGTTTTAGTTACTTTTATCATTAATTAAGTAAAAGTATACCTTACATTACATACATTAACATACTACATTGCAAAATGTGAAGTGATCTAGGTTTTATTAGATTACAGTTCTAAACGTTTATTATAGTCAAAAATAGGGAACCACCATTAAAAATTATATTTATTTTAATTGTATTTTTCTGCTCGGTTATCCCTTTCGTCTACATTTTGGACATCTAATTAAAAACATCTCACACAGACTGACACTAACCACCGGATCGAGTTGCATAGCCCCAGGTACTCTCGACAGAACGTCACTACATACCACGGTTGGTACAAGAAGCCATCGAGATCACGAAGTACAAAACATTTAACCGTGATGATGGTTTTAAACTGTCCAGTGCATGGAATCCGGTCCTTAGTGCGTGCAGTAATAAAAACAAAAACACCTCGAGTTCAGTTTCGTGTGTGGATACAGTGAGTGTAGTTTGTGTAAAAAAAAGTGAGTGACAATGGTAACGCCACAACAAACCGCGATGAAGGTAGTCGTCGACAGCGTTAGAGGGTAGACAGAAATGTCTACTCTTAAAGCTGTCATCTGCCGCCGTCCAGTCAACCCGTGACCATGGAGCGTACAACCGTTCCGAAATATCGGGAAAATAAAAAGAAGTCATACCGTGGTAAGAAACCTGATATTAGTGATAATCATTTATTGTTATACATTTTCAAGAACAAGGACAACGATATGAAATTAGGTATATGAATGAATGCGATGAAACCAAAAATGTCGAGTTTTGTAGTTTCTGTTTTTACATATTTTACATTATATTAATTATTATTTACGTATTTCTAATTACTCTCGTGTACTGGACTGTAATAAAAGTGTTTTCCTCACCTTTTTCCAATAATTTATGTATATCAATTTGTTTGTTATTATTATTTCTTTTCATCTCGTTTGTCGCGCTCAACTTTTACGTTGATAAAATTACGTTGTTTCGCACTGTGTTTATCATTTGCAGTCGTTAGTCGCGGCAATCGCGATGACTCAAAAATGTGACGTCACGGTGCTCGCCATGTTAGGTATTGTGATAAAATTTTAAAATGCTGGTATATCACTCGAATTTGAGAGCTAAATGTTTATATAATAGCGTTATCGATGCGTTATGATGTTAGCAATTCATTAGGGCGCGCTTATTCGATACGAATTTCATAGTGTTCCGAGGAATTTAAATGTTGTTGCCTAGTAAATAGAATTCAGATTCGACAGTAATATATTATAATATATGTTTCCGGGCGCTTATTGTTTCAAATTAAGTTTCAGCACCGTGTGAAAAATATATACCTTTAGGCGCATCGCCTTTCTTCTTAACTTTATCCTGTTCCGGCTTTCGCTTGGCGGTCTTCTGCGCCCCGTCAGACGGGTCGAAGAGGCTTAAAAACGAGTCCATGCCCTGAAACAAAATAAAGTAACAATAATAATAAAATAACGCACACACTCAACATAGCCCCGCACTAGGGAAACCCCTGTGTCGCGGGTGCCATGGACAAGCATATAGCCAACCACAAATTCACGAGAGTAATAAATGAAGGCCACATAAATATTTCTCCAGGCCTTCTCGAACCTTGGACCTCTGCGTGGCAACCGTTCGGCCGTAATTTATTTTACAATATCAAGTGACAGGGCGAACAAGTCGTACGCCTGATGGTAAACTACACGCCTGTTAATAACAGTTGTAGCGCCACTGCCACTGCGCCCGTTACCCTGAGATATAAGTTGACAATTCCCATGTGCCGGAATGATGTAATGCTTGTCGGCTGAAATAGGTAACGTGGCAGTACTTCCCTGGACTAACTCTTTCATAAGTAACTTACTGTTATTGAATAAATATTTTCTGTATTACTTACGATTATATTACCCCATGACATTGTATTTCAAATTGTTACATCATGACATTGATAATAATTAAAGAAACAATTCTATTATATTTTCATTGAAAATTTTTCAGTTCACCTTGATAGTTAATAGCGACAAGAATGACATTGTTATTCGATTTATTTTTATCTGAATCTAGATTTCTTTTTATCAACGTTTTACGTAAGCACAAAACTGTCTTTGTCTTCATTTGTACATAAGTTATATTTAAAACTGATTCAAGTAACATTGAGACATGAGTATAGAAGCCATATTTTTTGGTTAGTAAATTTTTTTAAAGGTAAGGGTGCTGGTGAAATTATAGGCACATGGGACGGCGGTGGCGATGTCCCTCAAAATCATTGCTATGGGGGGACAAAATGACCAACACCTAATCTACCTACTGGGGCTGTGGGAGTCAAAATAACCGCTCTGACCATTGACTTACAAATAAATGGACGACGGGTCTAATACAAAAACCACGAAAAAAATGTCTCAAGTCAACCTATTTAAACGTAGTGACATGTAATGTCATCGCAGTACTGTCTAATTTTGCTTGCTTCGCTGTCAGTCGAACAAACGAAGACTAAAGCGTGAATGACGCTCTGTATACGATTTTAACGCCCTATAAGTTCGGACACTTTTTAGCGCGGACCCGACGTCCATATAATTGTAAGTCAATGGCTCCGACAGATGGAATTTTGCGATGCCCGTACGCGGCGCATGACTGGCGCGTCCCATATCGTCGCCTTAGAGTGAAAACCTAGCAATACGCGTTTTCACATAGTTCGTTTTTGCTGATTTTTGTTGAAGAAAAACTTTTATTGCTAAAATATATTATTAAAGTAATATAGTATCTGAAAGAGGTATAAATGCTAACTACAAACATTATTGCGAATATTTTACACCACATTTTTACCTTCGTCGAGATTTCACTCTATGACAACGATATGGACTTCTGTTGCCACTTGCTTTTAAGAATTTACGATGGCATACGCATTTTTCTAGAAGAAAAAAGATTTCGAGTAACAAAAAAATATTTTTTTTTTCTTTGAATTTAAAAGTTACAAACTGAGCAAAAAATGGTTAATAGAATACAAAAAATAAAAACATAGTTAACGTACAATCGGCGGCCTTATCGCTAGACAGCGACTTCTTTACAAATTATTATAGCGTACTACATATGTAATTATATTAATGTGAAATGTGAAAAGATGTATCTCAGTTTGAGGTAAAAATCAATGTAACATGTACTCGCCCGAACATTGTGACCCGCACGGCCTAAACGTAATGATTATTCCGTTTCGTTGGCGCCCCGGGTTGAAAATCCGGTACTAAAAAGTACTAAAAGAGACAAAGTAATGTAATATCGCGAAAAAAATTATATACAATATACAAATGAAACCAAAAACAAGCATATATGCCAATGTCATTTCTTTAACATTTTTAAAAATTCTAGCCGGCGACTGACGTGTTAATAAAAAATTAATGTTAAAGCGTGAAACACACATAGAGCGGGTGCGGGTCGGGTCGGAAGCGCGGCGGTTCTAATTCTGTGTATTTATATGGACGACAACACACCGAGCGCGGGCGCGGGACGGGAACACGCGTCCGCATTCGGTGTATTGTCGTCCAAACACGGAGTTAGAGCCGCCACACTCGCGACCCGATTAAAACGAAATAAGATAATCTGTAGAAAATATGTAAGTAGTATAAATTGAAATGTTCTTAAAAAAATTAATTAATAACTTTTGTAAATGTAATAAAAAACATTGAGTTGTTTGCATTAATATTAGACATAACTGGTTCATGCACAGACTAGATATAATGTCTGTTGGTTGATGGCTGTCCCATCTCAGTCAGCTGTGTGTGACCTTGGCGTGACCATGGGATCTGTAAAGGTCCCGAAACGTTGGCTATAGTTGGCGAAGATAGTTTCATTTCCTATATTCTACTTATATTATCAAAAATAACATTGGCTGAACCGAAATTGGCAAGGAAAGTGATATCTTGGCAAGGCCTGTAGTTTTGGTTAAAAAATGACATGTTTTAGAACTTCTGCCAAATACAACACTTACGCAACCTGTTACACAATTGTAGTAAACTCTACACAGGTAGGGTATTGTGTCCATCAACCGACTCGCCCCTCCGTTGGCGCGGGAGCCCTGGCGCAAGCTAGGGCGGCCGGGCGGCGTCGTGGTGAATGTTCACCGATCCCACGGCGCCGACTCAACCGGCGAGAGGGAAACCCGGGGGGGTTTTAGTGGGGTAGGCCCTCCAGTCTGGAGGGAGAGTCCCCACATAACCCCTGAGTCTCCCTGGGCTCAGGGGCATCCATAAAGATTTCCCCCCCGTCAAAAAAAAAAGCGTTTTATGTCCATCCTCCAGCACGAATGTATTATGGGCCTCTCTAAAAGCATTCCCAGGCGTCCAGATAAAGCTGGACATACTTAGGCATTTTGGAAGCGTGCCGGCCAAATTAGACAATGTCCAGCTTTTGTTAGGCTTTTATAAATTCACGAAGGTTTCAAGACTTCTGAATACAAAGCAATGGTTTTGAACCACCAAATACTACGAGGTTCCGGCATTGGGTAGAAATAGCCTTCGAATGCCAACTAGGGTTACACATGCCATGGAACGGATAAGATGCCTGTCCACCTCCGAAACTAATATTTTTCTGACGGGCATACGAATTTCTTTATTGGTATACCTAAGCCCTAGAAGGTAAAGACAAGCGAAGCTAAAAAAACCTTCAAATGAACTCCTAGTCGATGCCTGCAATGAACTGTATATAGCATTTAGCTTCTTCGAGAACCATTGGCATTTCCAGATAGTTGTGTATTTCGGAATTGCGACCGTACCAGGGTGCAGCAGTTAATATCCTGAGAATGTTATTTTGGGCTTTTGAAGGCTAAGTAAATTTGTTTTGCTGACTGTTAACCACAATTGTATCCCATAAGTCCAGATCAGTTTTATTACACTGTAGTACACTCTCAGCTTATTGCTTAGAGATAAGGTGGAAAAGTAAAGAAATCATTTAGTGTAATGTTTACTTTTAAACATGATATGATTTATAATATACATAAAAAAAGGATATATTTAAGTCAAAACGCAAAAAATGGTATTTTGACTTACGACTTATGTGTAAAAAAAAGAAATAAAAAACAAAATTGTAAAAAAAATGAAAAACTAATTTTGTGAAAAAAATAAAAATAAAATTGGAACAGGTGCAAAAATTAAGTTGGCAGTGTTCATTGGAGACATCGATTTACAACTTTCGAGTGGCTGTTCATCCCGTCACTTAATATTACAAAAAAAACATGTTTGTTGTAGCCCGAAACAAGTCACCATAACATTAATAATAGGACGCAAAACAAAGGTTGTTCCTGTGTTAAACTTCTCCAACATTTAAATATACTTTAATTCAGCATTGTGTTCTTCACAATCCCATATTTAAGAAGAGCATTATGCTTTCATTACCATCACAATAATAAACCATCATACAATATAGAACACACACATAGTTTCATTCTTGGATCAAAGTCAATGTTTTGTTTGTTACGTAATTAGTAAACAAAGAACACTGCCAAAATTTTACAGTAAACAATATAATCTTGTTGTTTGATTGCAAAAAGGTTGACATCGATTCCTTTTTTTATTTATTTAATACATTTTTAATTTCTATGATTAAAAAACCAAATACAGGTTTGTACAAGAAGTACCTACAGAATTATTTTGGTTTTCTTTAATTTGCGAAAAAATATTGCCATGATTTTTCTGAAATTATTCCACTAGTTTGTTATAATAGTTAATACAAATGCGGACGTGACATGCTGCAGTTTTAATTATTTAATTATATAAGTTTTAGTTCATTATAAATCGTGACGGTCTAGTGATGACCAGGAATATGACAACTGGATCCCAGGACTGTGAACATCTAGAAGTGACAAATTTAATCTTAAATGATGAGAAATAGTCACCAGCACATCAAGCTTTACACTTTTGTTCAAATATCGCCTCCTGGAAGAAGAATAGGATCTTCTTCTAGGGAACTAGATACCTGCAAGTGGGTGACATTGACTTATGGCCAACGTGATCATACGGGACGTATGCTTTGTGTGTGTGTGTTTTTGGCGGGAAAACAATCTGTGGCCGGTCTGGGCAAAGCAAATTTGTTCATTCAAAAAATATATAAAGCTAGCCCACCCGACTACACAAGATTAGTTCATATTTTAATGTTTGATCATTAAATATTTCAAATCCTTTTTTCAATTTTTAAATCATTATACATTTTGTAAAGTGTTTTATTTTTAAAACAATAATAAATTTACACGCATCTCTCCTTGAAAGAAAAAAATTATAGGCATGTTACTTATGACCAACAGAGGCTTCCCATTTGCATCATGGCCGAATCCAATCTCTGTTTAGGTTGAGATGGAATATTGTCAGCGATAGTGCAAATTCGCATATGTATGTATGATAGGTTAAAAGTATGTATCTACACCTAACCAAATTTTACAGGAGAGGGATTGAACGTCATTACTTTGTTATTTAAATGGATACAGCTTTCACTTTTGCACAGTAAGCATTAATTTATGTTGCCCACGGACTGATAAC